CCATATTTTCTAGACAATCGGCTCACAGTTGGCGGTGAGGTCAGCCTTAAGCGCCGGCCGCCCTTTATCCCCAAACATATTCCTGGTACTCATTTCTGTTAGAGGCTGAGTCGACCCCAGGGCCATAGTGCGGCTGGAAGGATTAGGTCAATTGAAAAAATCCAGTGTCCATATCGGGAATGGAACCTGTGACCTTCCGGCGTGTAGCATAGTGCCTCAACCAGCTACGCTACCGCTTATACAAGTTAAATTTGGCAACTCCGCTGAAGCTTACATCTCGCAATACTTGCTGACGAGGGTCAATCTGAGAGGGCGAACATAGCAATTCTGCTTCAAGCTTGCACTTCCCCTTCCTGTTTTTATTTAGTACGTCATATCTACTGCGTATTACTTTCTCTACCACAGTTTTTGTAAGTGTGGAGAGAAATCTGTTGGGATCGTTACTTTACAAGAAAAACTGGGTCAGTTTGTACTTCCCATGTTGTTTGAGCCGTCCTTTCTCAGGAGGTACCATAGTTTTTGTTAAGTGTGGAGAGAAATCTGTTGGGATCGTTACTTTACAAGAAAAACTGGGTCAGTTTGTACTTCCCATGTTGTTTGAGCCGTCCTTCCTCAGGAGGATACGCCGTGGATTAGGTCGAGTCCTCTAACCTAGAGATAAGGACTGCATTGACATAACAGGGCCTCTGTAAGTGCCGTTAACTAAACGAATGCTGGCAATAACTGAATATTTAAACAGCAAAGAAGTGCAAGAATAAAACAAGGGGACTACACTGAATGTCCCAGAAACCAAACAGGAAGACGAGTGCTAGGTTTCCCTAAAAGAACGCCATCTGTTTCAAATTTACGTACAGAATGTCCCAGAAATACACGTACTTCCGTTATATGGCATTGCAGATTGTGTTTCAGCGTTGATGGCGGACGTCTGCAACATCTCCAGTAAGATCAGCTTGGGCCGTGCCATAGCTCAGGCGGTTAATCGCAGGTTTCCCACCACAGAGGCCCGGGTTCGAGCCTAAGTCAGGTCATGTGGGATTTGTGGTGGACAAAGTGGCACTGGGGCAGGTTTTCTCTAGGTATTTCGGTTTCCCCAGACAATCTTCATTCCACCAATTGCTCCACAGTCACCCTCACCTGTCATCTGGGGCTGATACAATAGGCCAGTAGTGACCGCAGTACAAGGGACTCAGTCTCGCTCTACTACTACTACTACTACTAATAATAATATGAAATATCAGCTTGACATTTCTGTATTACGCTTTCTGTTTGTTGCTATAATTTCCTGTTATTAACGTGGTACAGAGAGGGGATGAAGTTAAAAATAGGGGGAGGGGGTGGAAATACTGTGCAACAGCCCATATTATTTATTAACTGCTGCAATAAGGTAAACAATATGAAAACTGTAAAGTTAATATTCTATTTTGTGTGTGTTGCTTGCTTCCTGGCTACAGATCCATAGGTCCGGGTTCGATTCCCGGCACTACAATTTTTTCTGAGAATAGTGGGTCTGGAACGGGTCCACTCAGCCTCGTGAGGATAATCGATCCGCTATTTCAAAGAAATAGCGGCTCAGATCTAGAAAACCGTGATTAACGGCCGTGGGGATTCGTTGCGCTGACTACGCGACACCCTCTATCCGCTAAAGTTGGAACTAACTTTGCTGACAAGCGGCGGTCGCTCGGTCGGTATAGTTCGCTTGCTGACTACAGGCCACGGAGTGTTACTTGCATGCGAACTCCGCCCACAGGGAGACTGACTGGTATTACAGCCCACTATGCATCTTGGCCTGTCAGTGGAGGTATAGCTTCAGTCTTTTTCGCCCTCGGCACTAGGCGGAGGTCCTCACCGCATCACCCCCCCCAGAAAAGAGCGCACGGTACGGATTGGTTACGGGACTGGAAGGGACTCAAAGTATAAATGGGTAACGAGGAAATGACGAGGTAGAATTTGGGGACCGCATAACTTAGTCCGCGGACTACTGGTTGAGAAACACGAGAACATCTGATCGCGTTCAGAGCATTGGTGAGTCTCACTGAACTTTTGTACTAATCTGTGTTCTGTGTAACCAGACGCCTTGAGACAAGCCGTTCTTAGGTTCAACACATTAAATGAAACACAGACCTGTACACCGGAACCTGAAGGCTAGGCATCAAGATGGCTGACGAAAAGACATGTTCAAGAGCAGGAAAATTACTTTCTTCGCCGTTTACTCTGTTGGATGTCTACACAAAAACGTTGGCCAAGAAAACAAGAAGAAATCCATCGTTTCAGGGCAGCGTATTGCCTTCGTTTTCAGGGTTGATGATCTGGTCGAGCAAGAAACGAGCACAAACCACACCCGTGTTAGAATCTCGAAACCAAATACTGAGATTTATTCCTACGGCTTTTTGTTTCGTGACATTACCTACTGTAGAACGTCACCGGATGGAAGTTCAAATAGTTTGCTCATTATGCAACAGATGTCGCGTAAATACTAGAATACAGAATATCTATTACAATTTAAAGGGCACTAATTGTGAAACGGTTGAATTAATCTACAGGGTTATTCTGAGTAAACAGAATCAAATGGTATATTTATAGATAAATATTTCGGTCTATTAACCTTTCAAAACTTATCGGTAACTATATGTACCAATAGTTTTAATATTAAAAGATATCTTTACATTTCCCCTCGCAGTGCATTTGTTGTTTTGGGATCGTTCTGAGAAAAAAAAAGGAGCCATTATTTCTATAAGCAGCATTAACTGATTTGATTTTCGTGATGGGAATGCAGTCTGTATTCGGTGGGGAAGGTTGCAGAATCCTTAAATTCTGTTTATAGGAGCAGCAGGCTTTAGAAAGTTAACTTTTCATGTGTATCTTATACAATTTCTTAGGCCTGTCGAGAGAGGTCCAAAACACCAACATATGCATACTTATTTGGAGGACTTAGCTTTGAAGGAAGGAGGAAAAAGAGAAGATAAGAGCGGAGAAGAGACGAGACGAGACAAGAAGAGAAGAGACGAGACGAGAAGAGACATGATGAAGAGAACAAAAGAGATGAGAAGAGAAGATAAGAGACGAGAAGAGACCAGAAGAGAAGCTAAGAGACGAGACGAGACAAGAAGAGAAGAGCAGAGACGAGACGAGGAGAGAGCAGAAGAGAAGCTAAGAGAAGATAAGAGAAGAGAGGATAAGAGCAGAGAAGAGACGAGACGAGAGCAGAAGAGAAGATAAGAGACGAGACAAGAAGAGAAGAGCAGAGACGAGACGAGGAGAGAGCAGAAGAGAAGCTAAGAGAAGAGAGGATAAGAGCAGAGAAGAGACGAGACGAGAGCAGAAGAGAAGAGACGAGACGAGGAGAGACCAGAAGAGAAGATAAGAGAAGAGACGAGACAAGAAGAGAAGATAAGAGCAGAGAGGAGACGAGACGAGAAGAGACCAGAAGGGATGCTAAGAGAAGATAAGAGAAGAGACGAGACGAGAAGAGACCAGAAGAGAAGATAAGAGAAGAGACGAGACGAGACCAGAAGAGAAGCTAAGAGAAGATAAGAGACGAGAGAAGAGAAGAGAAGAGAAGAGAAGAGGGCATATTATGCTGTTATTAACTTTCTGTTGCAGCGGAGAGCTTGGATGACTCGGATTAGCTGAATTCCTGTTTGAACTTGACCTCCGACGATTTAAACGCAATGTCTCCACCAGTTCACAGACGCAGTATGGTTAATATAGAGACTAATTACTCTAATATTATTTATGCGTAACGCATAAAATGTACGCAAAATAGGGATGTCCTCGCTATTGATGCATTTGTCAATCCGCTTACATGTTTAATCGCCAAACGGGTTTGTATGTCCTTCTCCCGTAGGTTATTTGACGACGTTTTCACTATCGACGGTATCAGATGGCAGGACTATACGTGATAATTAACTAGGAAGAATTTGAAAGGAGGGATGTAGCTGAGGTCTAATCCTGGCATTTTGCCTGGAGGGAAAACCACGATAAAACCTCAGTCATGATATCCGGCAACTCGGTCGAGATTCGAACCGCGCAGCTCCAGGATGCAAGTCTAAACAGTTTTTATTCGCATAGTTGGGGGGTCCACTCAGCACGGCGGCCACTAATTGGCCTATTCTAGCCTGCCCCGGATGATTATGATGATGGAGAATTTGGTGGAATGAAGATTGGCAGGGGAAACCTAAGTACTCGGAGAAAACCTGCCCTAGCGCCACTTTGTCCACCACAATCCCACTTGACCAGACCCGGGATCGAACCCGGGCCGCCGCGGTGGGAAGCCAGCGACTAACCGCTTGAGCTATGGCGTGGTCTAGTCTAGGCCGTTACTGCTAGACCAACATATTCGGTCTGCTGGCATAATCCTTAAATAAACCACAAATTAATCCATAAATGATGATCCATATCAAAATTATCCACCAAAATGGACGCCTACATCATATATTAGTTGTATGGGGCCAAGCTGAATTTCCCAATAAATTCTAATTCAGTATTCGCATAAGAAATTTCACATAAATCTGTCAAATTCTTGTAAAATTACATATTTGGAGCGGGGATAGCTCAGTCGGTTCCCAGTAGGGGCAAGAGATTTTCTCTACTCCACAGCGTCCAAATCAACACTGGGGTCCACCCAGTCTCATGTCCAGTGGGTACCAGAGGCTGCTTCCCGGAGGTAAAGCGGACGGGGCGTGAAGATAATCACTCACCTCCAACTAATGCCGAGGTCAAGAATCTATATATCTCTACTCTCCCATGACATTTTGCTTAATTAGTTAAGCACAGGGACAACTTTGCGTTTGCCTCACCACAGATAAACAAAATGGGATTGAACAAACAAGCTACGCGTTTGAGGGTCAAGAACGCCAGTACAGTGGCGGTCGCGCTGTGGCCAGTACGGGAAACGGTCACCGAGAGAAGCGACACGGCGGCTGCAGAAGGAAGAAATTTGCGATGAGTAGTAGCGGATGACCATTTAAGCTGCACGGTTGCTGCCTTCCCGTACAGTAAGTCCGAATACGCCCACAGCACGGTAACGCCTTAGCGTAATGCTTGTAACCTTATCTGACTTCATGTGACAATACTGACGCAACACCTGTCGGCTAGCGAATTTACTAACTCAGCTTCCTGGTGTAAGTTCTGGGCGCACTGACGTAAGTTCGATTATTCTTGTGCTCCTGTATCGATCATTCATCGTTACTTTAAAAAAATTAATCGTAAGTAAAAATTTTTATGTATTATTTGCTTATATTAGGTTTATTTATAAAATTATTTTACTTACGTGTTTGTTGCAAATTCACATAAAATTGAAATTTGTTTATTGTTATGAAGTTCTTCTTTATGCACAAATATTATGTTTTTTGGACATTATCCGTCGTCTGGTCTTTATCTAAAAACCGTCCTGTTTATTTTTCAAAAACACGGCGTTTCGGAGACTGGATTCTGTCTCCGTCTTCAGGTGAAACCTACTCAGTTGAGTCAGATATCTCCGGACACCTATGCCTGTGTTTTGAAAAATAAACAGGACGGTTTTTAGATAAAAACAGGATAATGGATAATGTCCAAAAACATAACACTTGTGCTAATGTACCATCGTCACACACTCTTAGATGTTATGCCTCTTTACGCAGTTTTGCCAACCTTCTGTCATTTCATCTCTCTTCGGTCCAAATATTCTCAACACCCTGTTCTCAAACACCCTCAGTCTATGTTATTCCTTTAATCTCAGAGACCAAGTTTCACACCAATACAGAACCACAGGCAAAATTATAGTTTTGTATATTCTAATTTTTACGTTTCTGGACAGCAGACGAGAAGACAAAAGTTTCTAGACTGAACGGTAGCAAGCATTACCCGAGTTCAATCTCCTCTTAATTTCCTCCTGAATCAGGTTTTGATTTGTTATCGTTTTTCCCAAATATCTGAACTGCGCCACATTTTCGAAACATCTGTTTCCTATCTTTATGCCATGATTTTGCCCTGAATTCTGCCTAATAATTTTGAGCATGCTTCGAACCATGGCTTATGCTTCTTCAGATCATAATAACCTAGACTCTGACTGAAATTGTGTTATCCTCTCTAATAGTTTCCCAAGCACTATCAACATCCCCTTCAGCGTCTGCGCGAAATAAATTTTATTTTAAACGCTGTATTTGAGGTTATGACAGTGAAGGAAATGAATTTCACTATCTTCTGGGATGTGACGCCGTGCTGTCCGGTAGATGATCACAGACTTTTCGGACGAAAATAGGGTTGTGAGACGAGGCTCCCACATTTTCTCTAGACAGTCGGTTCACAGATGGCGGTGAGGTTGTCAGCCTTACGCGCCGGCCGCCCTTTACCCCCCAGGAAGATTCCTGGTACTCATTTCTGTTAGAGACTGAGTCGAACCCAGGGTCATAGTGCGGCCGGAAAGATTAGGTAAATTGAAAAAAAAAAAAAATCCAATGACCTCATCGGGAATCGAATCCACAACGTTCCGGCTTGTATCATAGTGCCTCAACCAACTTCGCTACGGCGTGCCCTCTATGAAAATTCTATAAATGCTAAAGCAATTTTATTTCTAGTTATCAGACAATATTAACACAGCCGCTGTCACATGCAAGTACGCGAGTCCGCATTGGTTTCTTTCCCGCAACGACACTATCGCGTCAGTTTAATTGTTTCTTGCATCCTGTTGTGTATTTAATCAATATTAGAGTCAATTTTACCGACCACACAACATATTTTTATTATTATTATTATTACACTACATGTTTCGACCTCAAGAGGTCATCCTCAGGTGTACGAACACAGCTGTATAATTATACGCAATGATATTTGTCTTTTCACTTATTCGATCCTGTATTTTATTCAGGCCCACGCTCAATAATATATCAAGTTCCTCTCACAAAACACAAGTTAAAATATTATTCTAAATGTCAAAATTTAAAATTTAAAATTTGCGAATCGAATTTCAATTCAGATCACTAGTGTGCTTTCACTTTCACTTATACAGTCACTTCCTACTTACGCTCATCACTGCGTCAAGTTCACTTTAACTAGTTTTAATTATATTATTGGTTAAAAAGTTCATGAATTAAAGTTCAATTTTATTATATTGCACTTTTCACTTTTTGGAGGTCTCGCTGTTTTTCTGCGTCCTCTGATGTTGCTGGATCTGTACGGTCCTTGTCATGATGGCTACTGAAACATGCAGTGTAATAATAATAAAAATATGTTGTGTCGTCGGTAAAATTGACTGTAATATTATCGCGTCAGTATTTGCCCACCTTGCTCTTCGACTCTGTAGATGGACCAATGCGCTCTTCCGAAGAGAGACGTTGCACCAACTACACGAAATGTGCCTAAAACCACTCTTTGTTTTGATTCTGATGCAGTTTCTGTAGGGACAGCAGCAATGGGCGCTGTGCTGAGTTACTTCTGGGAAAGAGAGGACCCTCAAACGGACATTCCTGACCCCCAGACGGGTCTAACTCAACGAGAGCGTCAGGCCGTGGTCAGTACGTGGGCTGTAGTGAAATTGGATGCCAAACGAACTGGCGTCGAACTCTTCATGCGGTCAGTCCAATGTTGTTATATATGGGCTCATGTATTACATTATGTATTTTTTTTAATTCGTTTAGTGGGGGGGGAGGGTGGAGTCCAACTGGGTCCACTCGCCACGGCGGCCACTGATTGGCCTATTGTAGCCTGGGTGATTATGATGATGGAGAATTTGGTGGAATGAAGATTGGCAGGTGAAACCGAAGTACTCGGAGAAAACCCGCCCCAGCGTCACTTTGTCCACCACAAATCCCAGTTGATCAGACCCAGGCTCGAACCCGGGCCTCAGCGGTGGGGAGCCAGCGACTAACCGCTTGAGCTATGACGCGACCTTTATTACATTATGTAACTACGAGAGCTACAGCAAATAACTGTTAGGCCCTAAGTTACGCTGGCATGGTTCCAGTTATACACGGTCTTTACTGCCAACACTGTCGTAGCGTAACCTGATACATGCGGGATTTGAGGTTTTCACACCGGTGGTTATGGAGAGATCTGTCTTCAGGGATATAAAACAGTGTACTTCGTTGGAAGTCGACCGATGTTTCGGAAGAACATATCGCCTCTATCTTCACGGTCGAAGAATAAGCCAAGTAAAGAAAACAGAATGAAAGCAGGTGGGAAGCAGTGACTTTGATCGGACTACACGGCGGTATACCCCAGAATATAGAAGTCTTCACAACCACCGCTGAGAGAACCTCAAGTGTTACTCATTTATTTGCTTCATCCCTGTTCTTCCCTGTGGCCGAGACAAGGGACCCACCATTTCTGCAAGTAAAAAGTAAAGTAAAGATATCCCTGTAACATGCCATGGAGGCCCATAGGGTCGTGAGACGTCGAGGCTCCCACATTTTCTCTAGAGAATCGGCTCATAGATGGCGGTGAGGTTTTCAGCCTTACACACCGGCCGCCCTTTACCCCAAGGAAGATTCCTGGTACTCATTTATGTTAGAGACTGAGTCGACCCCAGGGCCATAGTGCGACTNTGAGTCGAGGGCCATAGTGCGTCTGGAAGGGTTAGGTCAGTTGAAAATTCAATGACCGGCTTGTAGCGTATCGCCTCTATCAGCTACGCTAAGGTGAGTCCAAATGTCCCAGTGCTGAAGTAATTAAGTATTGCGCAATGAATGTGCTTCCTAGCCTCGGCACCAGGTCAGCATAATGCCCCAGTCGCTTTACCCCTGGCATAAAGAGCCCCCAGTACCCATCGGATAAGAGGCTGGGTGGACCCCAGAACTGGTCTGGACGCTGTGGAGAAAATTCTCTTGCCTCTGCCAGGACTCGAAACCCGATCCCTCGGCCGTTTCAGCCCGTGGTCAGTTCGTGTACCACGTAATGGTCAATAAACTGAAAATAGACCCTAAATTATAAGTAAAGTGAATAAGTAAGTGAAATTAGTCTTGTGCATGTCAATCTGCATAGCTCAGTCGATATAGTGACTGATTGAGGGCTGAACAGCTGAGGGGGTCCGAGTTTTGAGTCCTTGAAAGGGCAAAATTTTTATCTCCATATCATCCAGACCGGTTCTGTGGCCCACCCAGCCCCCTATCCAATGGGTACTGGGGGCTCTTTATCCCAGGGGTAGAGCAGCAGGGGCGTGAAGCTGACCACTCACCTGCAGCCAGTGCCGAGGTCAAGAAAATGTAGATTTATATATCCACTCCCCCATACGCCTTTGTGGCATAGTGCTTAATTAGTTAAGCACAGGGAGAACTTTACCTTCAAAATCTCAATATGCAGTTTACATCACATGAGACACTGAGCGGGTTAGCTTAGCGGTAACGCTGTCCGAGTTCGAGTCCAGGTAGGGTCAAGATTTTCTTTTCTCCTCATCGTCCAGACCGGTTCTGGGGCTCACCCAGCATATCCAATGGGTACTGGGGGCTCTTTCTCCGGGGGTAAAGCGGCCGGGGGTGTGAAGCTGACCACTCACCACCAACTAGTGCCGATGTCAAGAAAATGTGGATCTATACATCCACTCCCCCATACGCCTTCATGGCATAGTGCTTAATTAGTTAAGCACAGGGACAACTTTGCTTTATTATTATTATTATTATTATTATTATTATTATTATTATTATTGCTGCGCAGGTTATTCGAGGCGCACCCAGAGTATCAGAAACGATTCCCGAGTTTCCGAGGCATGAACCTCACGGAGCTCAGGGGCAGCACGAAGTTGTCTGCTCACGCTACGAACGTCATGTACTCGCTGACGGGCGTGGTGGACAACCTGGAGGACCCGGAGTGCCTCACGGAGCTGCTCAGGAAGTTAGGAGAGAACCACAGACGCCATGAAATCACCGAGAAAGAATTTCGTGTGAGTAGTCAATCGATGAGCACAGAGGCAGAGAAGAAGTGGTCGCTGGAAACAAGTTGGGACTGACCTATGTTGTGGAAAACAGCGTTCTGCTCCATAAAAGACGTAAAAGTTAAAGTACAGAAACTATAATTTTGCCTGTAGTTTTGTATGAGTGTGAAATTTGGTCTCTGATATTAAAGGAAGGGCATAGATTGAGAGTACGTGAGAACAGGGTGCTGAGGAGAATACAGGAGGGCGTGCCGATGAAAGACATCCGAAATAAAATAATTATATCTCAGAATGAATTGAATGAATGTATAGGGGGTGGCCCTTCTCGGCCCTTGCACCGCGACCTACAGTGATCTGTTATGCTTTATGAATTTATTATACACATTTATGGGTTACATCACTACAAAGGGGAACTATCAAAGCTTTTTCTGAGTATACACGTATAACTCTCTCAATAAATTTCAACGTGGGCTCCCTTGGTGGCACGACAAATATCCAGACGATCCACCATGTTTGGTGTTACCGTAGCCACAGCGTCCCTTATGCGGGTTTTCAGTAGTTGCAGTTCGTACTCCAATGGGGTTAAATCCATGTAACCAATAAAAAATAAAGCTATCCCTGTAACAGGCCGTGGAGGCCCATAGGGTTGTGAGACGTCGAGGCTCCCACATTTTCTCTAGATAATTGGCTCACAGATGGAAGTGAGGTTGTCAGCTATACGTACCGGCAGCCCTTTACCCCCCAGGAAGATTCCTGGTACTAATTTCTGTTACAGGTTGAGTCGACTCCAGAGCCATAGTCTGGAATCGAACCCGCGACCTTCCGGCTTGTAGCATTGCGCCTCAACCAACTACGCTACCGCGTGCCTTCACATGTAACCGATGAAACCAATATATTATCACGTGTTGGCTGTTGGTATTTAATTTCTCGCTGTGGGAATTCAACAATTTCCACGTATTCATTGTCGCGGAAGTATGTGTTCCCATTGTAGCCGTTGCGCAGTGATGAACGTAGTGTAACACATCACAATATCGATAGGTCGAATTTATTTGACACTGTCGGTCATAATCATTTCAGTTGAAGCATCTTTGTGGGGTTCAGTTGGATAAATGTTGTTAAATAATACAACTTGAAACGAAGACATTAACTTTACATTTTAATTTTACAGGATCTAAAAGTGGTACTGATGGACCTGTTGAAAGAGAAGCTTGGAGAGCAACTGACACCACAAGGAGAGAGAGCGTGGAATAAGACAGTGGATCTCGCTTACACATTCATATTTCAAGGGCTGAAGAAACGCGAGACCTCTAACGTGACGCAACAGTACGCAAGTGTTGCGTAGTGGCACCAAGGAACGACCACGATAGTTGATTTTCCATCTGTTAAATTAAATTACAGAGACAACGTCCGTTGCTGGTATGAAGCACGTGTAATGGTTGAGAAACAGAGCAAACAATTAGAGGATTTACCAATTATTTATCTAACAGTATATGACAATAACCACAGGGCCGCAATAGAATTTCTCGAGGCCCCTAAAACTGAGAAAATAAAAGAACTGTAGAAATAATTATTAATAAATATTAACAATTTTTATTTGAAAAATTACTAGGGAAGACCCTTCCATCTATTTCGGAAAAAGTCTGTACTTTCGCAAGAATAATTGTAGTTTACAAGTAGATGAGTGAGGTTAGGAATGCAGTGAATGTATGTACAACTGGACAAGTAAGTAAATGTCATGGCCGCGCCATAGCTCAAGCTG